TGCGTGGAAGTGTCAAGTGCACTTCTGGTGCTTTGGGGTCGGGATCGCTCTGTGATTCGACCTGTGGGAATGCGTCGTGTCAGGAACGACCCATCGGCGATCGCGTACTTGTATTCCTCGATCTCGCGATCTGTGAGCTGACTTGCTTACCGTTGAGCAGGCGACTTTACTCTGTAGTACTGTCGTCAAGCCGATGAGCCGAGCCAGTGAACCGTATTCTTGCGTGCGCCGTCAAGCATTCCCACGCTACAGTACTACAGTACAGCTGCGCCGTGTTCTAGTGCAGCGCCAAGAGCGGTGGACCGACACAACGTTTCGAGCCACTCCACTGTCGTCTGAGCATGAGTGCGTCTCCCTTTGGGTTTTCGAACTTGTTCTTCAACCGATCAGACATGAAATGAAGGAGCTACTTTGCAGAATCAAAACAGACTTGCTGACGAGGCCAGGCAAGAGCCACAAGTCACCTCCTCCCAGCGCCTGGGTGCCAACACCATCGCCCTCTTCAACCGCCCACCCAGCCAGCTCGGCCTGAATGATGTTGCTAGAGAAGAATCAAGTTCAAGCAAGGTCATCTGGTCTCGAGACAAGTTTCGCCTATGAAACTGTGGTCGTCGGATTGAACTGATAACCATTGATTGTGCCCACCAGTTTCCAGCTTCAAGAATCTCGTTTCGCGACAACCGCTGACAGGCAGGTGGAAAGTCGACTGCTGGGAATGGGGAAACTTGAGCAAAGATACTCGGTCACTGAATTCTCACCGGACAAACCTCCGCCATCAATAAGTCCAGCACGCTCCAACAACAAGCCTGCGAAGAATGCAACCCAACCAACCTCCTTCGTAAACGCTTCTTCTCCCAACCCCCTTCGTCTGGACGATCCGGGTGATTGCGAGCACGAGCCTAATAGAAATGGCGTGCGTACCTTGACTGCCTCGGTCTCCCTGACCTAACACTTCTTCAAGGAAGGCACGTTATCATTGGCCTGTCGCGTGTGCATCGAAGCTTATTGAAGTGCGTGCGTTCGAAACCACTTGCGGTTCGTATGTACATAGTGAAACACAGTTGGAAAATTTCGAGCGACGACACTGTGCAAGGAACAAGATCGAACAGCGGATCGCCATTCGCTCGAAGCCGATCCCCACTCTCACTTTTCCTCGGTCAACTACACCATGAGCGTCACGGAACCCGCCACGGCCGCCGAGCCCCAGAAGCCGACGACGCCCGTCCCGTCGCCCAAGGCGGACGCGCCCACCGAGTATGTCCCGGTGACCGAGTACGCGCCCGTTGCCGACGCCGTCCTCGTCCAGCCTACCGTCGCAATGAACGTCGTCGTTGTCGACGCTGGTCTCGATGCCAACGGCCTCGTCGTCGGTCGCTGGAAGGCCGACATTTGCGCTTGCTTTTCGGACATGATCCCGAACTGCTGCATGGCGTACTGGTGCCCGTGCATCTCGCTCGCCCAGACCCTCCACCGCGTCGGCCTCTTCACGTACACCAACACGCTCCTCGTCTTTGCCACGATGTACCTTGCGCAGGTGCTCACGTGGGTCCTCGCGGTCTCGATCGGCCGTACCTGCGTTGCGTACAGCAGCTGGAGCTACGACTACGAGATCTGCTCGGGCTACAACGCGTGGATCTACATCATGTGGGTCGTCTCCGTCCTCGTCGTCGTCGCGCTCATGTACGTCCGGACGCGCGTCCGCGCGATCTTTGCGATTCCGGGCAACGTGTGCGAAGACTGCCTCTGCTCGTTCTTCTGCAGCTGCTGTACCATTGCCCAGTTGGCGACGCACACCGACTCGTACACGCCCAACGCTTGCAACTTTGGGCCCAAGGACACGCTTGCCGGCTACGTTGTCTAATTGTGCATTTGTCCTGGCCAATATATTTTGTTTATTTTCAATATATTTTACGGTATGCCCAATTGTGTGCACGACACACTTCAGTATACTCGATTCCAACTTGAATCTTTCATGTGACCGAGTACGCACCCGTTGCCGACGCCGTCCTCGTCAAGCCTGCCGTCGCGATGAACGTCGTCGTTGTGGACGCAGGCCTCGATGCCAACGGCTCGACGTCGGGCGCTCGAAGACCGGCATCTTCTACTGCTTTTCGGGCATGATCCCGAACTGCCTCATGGCGACCTGCTGTCCGTGCATCTCGCTCGCCCAGACCCTCCACCCTCTCGTGGCCATATACCGGTACACGTTTGTCGTCATGTACGTCCGGACGGGTGTCCGCGGCAGGTTTGCGAATCCCGGCAACGCGTGCAAAGCCTGCCTCTGCTTTTGCAGCTGCTGCACGATCGCCCAACCGGTGTCGCACACCGACTCGTACACGCCCAACATTTGCAACTTTGGTCTCAAGGACACGCTTGTCGGCTACGTTCTCTGAGCTTTTGACTGATATGTTTTGTATCTTTTCATATATTTTTATTTAGATACGTTTTGATCCGATGTACATTCAAGTGTACTTGCATCCTTGTGAAAGACGTAGCCCAAGAGCGTCTACCTACATGCATATATGTCGGTGCAGAAGCTGCGTGGTGGCGATGAGCACTGCCCCTTCGCTGATAGTTTGATACATTGATAGAATGGAACGCTCCTGAATCTCCTCACGCGGCAGAGACTGTGGCAGTACGTCCTCACCGTGTGGGCCCAGCTTCAAGTAAGTTCCTTGCACAGACAACTCGCCAGCTCTCTTACGCTACTGAGTAATCTACCACGTCCACGATGAGCCCTGCACTGAGCTCTGTCAAGGCGCCGCTCGAGTACATCCCCGTCATGGACCCCTTTGCACCACCCATGTCGCACCTCGAGGACGATGCGTCGGTGCCCATGGCCGGCGCCGTGGACATGAACGGACTCCTTCTCGGGCGCTGGAAGACCGACATCTTTGGCTGCTTCACGGACCTTGTGCCCAACTGCCTCATGGCGACCTGCTGTCCGTGCATCTCGCTCGCCCAAGTTCTCCACCGACTTGGTCTCTACTCGTTCTCGTCGACGCTGATTGCGTTCGGCATTCTCTACGCCACATACCTCGTTGCGACGATGCTCTCGTCGTCTGTGCACCAAGCTTGCGTCTATGACGGCATCGTCGTCACATGCACGGCGTCGTGGAACCCGTGGCCGGCCGTGAGTCTCTTCTTGGCCGTCTGTATGCGCGGGCTGCTCATGCACACTCGGACGCGGGTACGCGGCCTCTTTCAGATTCCCGGTAGCGCAATTGAAGACTGTCTCTGCGCGTGCTTCTGCTCGTGCTGCATGCTCGCGCAACTCGCTACGCACACGGATGCGTACACTGCGGCACAATGCGAGTTCGGACCGAAAGACACACTGCCCGGGTACCACGCATAACTTCTCACTGTCGAGCCAACTAATTGTGTACGAATTCGTTTCAAAATGCGAGCTTGGTGTCGAAGTAGCACAGCTCGAGGTGTGCAATGTGCACGCACGGCTGCTCCCATCTCGCGCACGTCGTCATACTGGCAGGAGCTTTTTTACCGGAATACACGTAGAAGCAGAAGCAGCCAGACCGCAGAAAACTCTGAAACGACCTCATCTCCCTCTCGACGTGCGTTGCCAGTGCCTGCAACGTTATCAGCACAGGAGGGTTAGGGCGCCAGTGTGGGTGCCACGGACGTGGTCATGGAGCAGCGCAATACTCGAGCAGCGCTCACTTGAGAGGTCTATGTCCGTTGGACATGACTGCGATGACAGTCATTAATTCTAGTCTCTCGTGCTGACGTTCGAAACCACGAAGCGCGGTCGGCCAAGCAGTGAATGTGCACCACCCCAGCGATCACATGACCCGCCGCCAGCTCTTGCTGCCCACCATGCCAGGAGCCGTTCAGCGTCAAGGACTACTACTAAGGATGAGCTTTATTGGATGGGCTATCGGCACATTTGTACCGCTCCGTGCGCCGTCATCAGCCATCAAGCTCAGATCGGCCATTACGATGGGCCCACGCACGACCTCTGTGTGCCAGAGTAATTTAATACGTATATCTGAATATTCAATACTAACATCAAATCCACATGCCATAATATTATGCTAACGTCCACCACGTGGGGTGGTTTGGGTTGTTCCCTTACAACCAATTGATGCGCGCTGTATTGCTGTGAACAAACAACTTGCATATTGTAGGGATAACAACGGGAGGAGGCCTCGCATTCGCAAGAAGGGAGTTGTGAGTAACATCACGTCATAGTTTGTGCTCGCCAGTTTGCATTTTTCCGCACCAGCTAGCATGAGCATCACCGAGCCGACCAAGCCTGCCGACGCGCTGCCCGTCGACGCGACGCCCGTGGCCGCCAACTACTATGATAAGGACGTGGTCTTTGCGGCGCCGGCGCCGCAGGTCGTCATTGTGCAGCCGACCGTGGTCATGCAGGCGGCGCCCGTCGACCACAACGGCCTCGTCGTCGGTCGCTGGAAGGCCGACATTTGCGGCTGCTTCACGGACCTCGTGCCCAACTGCTGCATGGCATACTGGTGCCCATGCGTCTCGCTCGCCCAGACCGTCCACCGCGTCGGCCTCTACACGTACTCGAATGCGCTCATCGTGCTCGCGGTCATCTTTGGCGCGTCGTACCTCACGACCGGCTTCTCGAGCTACTTTCGCAACACGTCGTGCACGTACTACAGCGGCGGCCTCGCTCTCTGCGCGACGACCATGTCCTTCTGGGGCTACATCTCGTCTGTGTGCGCGATCGTGTCGATCGCGATCATCATGCTCGCGCGCATGAAAATCCGCGGCATGTTCCAGATTCCGGGCAACGCGTGCGAAGACTGCCTCTGCGCCTTCTTCTGCAGCTGCTGCTCGGTCGCCCAAATGGCGACGCAAACCGACTCGTATACGCCCAACGACTGCAACTTTGGGCCCAAGGAAACGCTCCGCGGCTACGTCCTTGCCTAAGCGCGTAACGAAAAGCATCATCACGCCCACCTCGTGTTAAGATCACGACTCTATTTGGTGGACGATCGAGAGGGAGCTGCTACATCCTACGATCTCTTGCGTGCGACAGCCGACGCAACGTCTTCGGACGCCCGAGGGCTTGTGGCTTGACACAGTGGCTGTATTGATTAGGGTAGCCTATCGCCAGGGAAGCGGTGGGTTTTAGACTGTGGTGTAGCCGGCAAGCGTGTCCTTGGGCCCAAAGTTGCAGGCGTTGGGCGTGTACGAGTTTGTTTGCGTCGCCATTTGAGCGATCGTGCAGAAGCCGCAGCAAAGCGCGCAGACGCAGTCATTGAAGAAGGACCCGGCGATGTTGAAGAGGGCGCGGACCTTGGCGCGGACGTGCGCAATAAGAACCGCAAGGACGAGATAAAACACTGCGAGGAGGATCGAACCCGAGGCCGATTGCAGTTCGCACTCATTGCGGCCGTCCACGAGGCGACAGGTCTCAACGTCCGGAAAGGCCGTCGGAAGGACGTTGGCGAGGAGAATGAGGACGCCAAAGAGGAGCAGAGCGCGCGTGTACGAGGCCAGCCCGATGCGGTGGACGGTCTGCGCGAGCGAGACGCACGGGCAGAAGAACACCATGCAGCAGTTGGGCACCATATTGGCAAAGCAGCCAAAGATACCTGTGGCCCACTGCCCCTCTTGGCCTTGCGGTACGATCGGCGACTTTTCGTCGATTGATTGGTACGTCTTGGGCTGGGTCGACGCCATCTTGATCTTGGGCTGGAAAAATGATTTGTGAGCGATCTCAAGCACGAGCGACAACAACCCGCCGACGATTGCACAGAACGTGAATGACGTACATGCACGAACCGTACTGTCCTGCGGCTTCGTTCACTGCATGAAAGTTGCAGCCAGGGGTTCATTATGCACCCAAAGTTGCAGCGACGTTGCGGGGATCGCGGTGGACAGGCCGTCAGCTGCGCACCCATCCGCAGTGCGGTCGTCGACACTGCAATCGACACCGCACTGGTGGCTCACAATGGGTGAGGTCGCAGATCTTTGGCGAACGCCGTCATCGAGCATCCTTTGTATCGCAAGGACTCCGAGGGCCCGAGTTCCTAGGACTGTGGTCTGGCTCACGACGGCCAAGTCGTCTTCTGTGCGACGAACGTACTCAGTCTCGTTCCAAGGATCAACAACTTGAAGTCGGTCGTGGGAGCTTATAGGAAGGAACGAGGCGACTGAAGATTCTACTCACATGTACCGCTACTGATTATCAGTACTTGACTGTGCGAACGGACGGCTGCTGGAGCGCCACGTAGCGCCCGACAGCAAAACCTGCCGCGACACCCAGCACGACGATCGTGAGCGCCGCGCCCATGAGCGCGCCAACGACAACCCGAACCTCGTTGCTGTCGTTGACGTAGTAGCCGACGCTGCGCAGCCACCACTGGGGATACCCCATCGGCGCAATATTCATCTCGTCGGCCGTCGTGTTGGAGACGACGTAGCCATCATGAAAGCGCGTCACGAGCGTTGTAAAGAGCGCCGTCGCGGACGCCAGCGCGTGGGTCGTCGCGTCCGCGCTGGTCTGCGTCAAGAACGTGACGGCGTCCGCGTTACTTAGCGTCGCGACGTGCGCCGTCACAGCGGCGTGGGCTACATAGGCTTGCATAATCGTTTCAAACAAAGAGAGTCGTACCAGCAAGCGCGGCGGCTTCGTACGCGCCGCTGGCCGCGCGAATGACGGGCGACGTCAACTTGAAAAAGATGCCTCCGTAGTTGCCGACGAGCGCGTTTGCCCAAAACAGCGTCGCATTGTCAAAGCGCCGAAGGGACCCGGTCGCAGCGGCGTCGGGCGTCGCCTTGACGGCAGCATACATCGGTACGTACGTCGTAGCGTGCGGGGCGTACGGGCCAAACCTACCAGTATTGTCTCTAGCGTTCTATTGTGCTAGCTTTGTTACCAGACGACGCCGAGGCGAGGGTCGAGCACACTTGCATGCGTCACATACGAATACGCTGTTCGGAAGAGCGAGATGGCGCGCTCGAATTGCCCGTCGGCCGCGCCGGTGGCTAGCAAAAATGACATGAGTCTCGATGTCCGGGGTAGGGTCTACGTACAGTAACGGTCGGGGTTGCCATACGGACCGGACGCCTTGTCGGTCGTCAAGTCGTACGCCGTGCCTTCGTAGTGGTCGCGCTGGAGCTGCATGAGGTCGGCAGGGCCGAGCAGCATGGCCGGCTACACCAAGGCAGAGTCCTATCTATTGTTCGGTTGGAGAACGCACCCGCGTCGAGAGCGGGTAGTCGGAGGCAAACACGTCGGTCGTGGGCGAGAGGCTGAGGCTCGGGTTCGCGAGCGTAAACACGCGCCAGACGCGCCGGGTCGAGTAATATTGGTTGGGATGCTCACGGACCATGGCGAAGGACGCGGTAAAGTCAAAGTCCTCGACGTCGTCGCCGTCCCAGAAACCGTTGCGCTTCGCCACGTCCAACATGTTACTTGACGCGAGGTAGTTGGCGCTGTCGTTAACGTCGACCGACCGAATGACAAACTGGTTGGCGACAACTGCAATGTCCGTGTCCGGTACGCGCTGCGCGGCCCAGACCGCCGACGCGCCCGTGTCATCGGGCAAAATGTGAAAGATCCACGCTTCGGTCGTGTCGGTCACGGTGAGCGTCTCGCCCGACTCGGCAAAGACGTCGTCGCCTTCCCACGAGCAGCCATAGTACCTAGTATACGGTGACGTTGATATCTTGACATTTGGAGTGTACCCATAGGTCTCGGCGAGGTGGCCCATGACCATGATGGCCTCGCGGGCCGTACGCGCGCGTTCCATCGCTACGCGCGAGAGCTCGACGATGTCAAAGAGCGCTCTGCCGCCCTGGGAGAGCGGCTTGGCCCACAGCCGCGCGCCGCACGTGCTCTCGCCGAACGCGACTTGGTGCTCGTTCATGACGCCGTAGACGCCGTCGAGGTACGCAAACGTCGTGGGCACTTCCGGGATCTGGCCGATCACGGGCGTGGCCGTCCAGTTGTACAGATCGTCTTCAAGCAGCGCGGTCCGTGTGTACATGGGCCCGTGGCCGTCGCCGACGTACCGCGGGTAGCTCTGCTTGACGAGGACAACATCGCGCATCGCGCCAGGTGCGTGCGTCTGCGAAGGCACCTTGAGCAAGCGAAAGTCGCAGTTGCTGCAGTCGGCCGTTTGCGTCGTCATGGGCGCGCCGGTCGTTGACGCCTACGTTCGCCAGTGAGCAGAGTCTATGTTGCAGTGGCGTCGTACGTTGGCGCCGACGATGATGGCCGTACACCGGTCGCTCTCGGCCGCCACCGCAACGAGCAGCAGAAGCGATGTTGCACTTGCCGTGAGCAGTCGCATCTCTGGGAATGGTTCAGCGATGACGCATGCGCGTTCGAAAAACCAAGTTGAAGGAGCCACCCAAGAGTAGCTAGCGGAACACGCCAGCAGCTGCCTGCAAGCACCAACTTGACGTTCTCTGCCGATGCTCACCACGACGGCGACGGCTTCTGCTGGCACTTGGTTAGATCCTACTAGTACAGCTGCTAGTGTAGCTGCTATCGCTGCATGGGCATGGGCTCAGCACGTCGCCGGACACTGCCCCTTGTCCTGAGAACGCAGCCGACGCGGCTGGCACGGCAGTGATGGCCCTCGAGAACGCTTCGTGATTGGACCAAAATGAGCCAATCCATGCGCGCGATCTTTGGACAGGCGGGCGGAACGCAACATTTCGAAAGACCTCCGATGCGCCTCAGCACCGTGGTCGTGGCCGTCGCCGGCGTCGCCGCGCGCTACGTCGAGCCCGACCGCTGCACTGCGATTCTCGTCGGCGCCAAGGTACAGTCTATGTACTGCGGCATATTGACCAACTAAATTCGCAGGCGTCGACGACCGGTGCGCCCATGACGACGCACTCGAATGACTGCGGCAACTGCGACTTTCGCTTGATCAAGATCCCAGCCATGAACCACACGCCCGGCTCGCTGCGCGACGTGACGCTGCTTCGCCAAGAGTACCCGCGCTATGGTGCGACCCTTTCTGCAACCACCCTTGCTCACGTATCGATTGCATCCAGTTGGCGAGAACCGTGGGCCTGCATACACACGTGCAAACCTCGAGACGGCCTTCTACAACTGGTCGTCATCGCCGACCATCGGTCGCATTCCTCAAGCAAACGCAACGTTCGGGTACTTCGAAGGCGTCTACGGCATCATGAACGAGCACCAGCTGAGCATGGGCGAGAGCACGTGCGGAGCCAAGCTCTGGGCCAAGCCCGTGTCTCATGGCGGGAAAGCGCTCTTGGATATCACCGAGCTCGGGCGGATTGCGCTCGAGCGCACGACGACGGCGCGCGACGCCATTGTGCTCATGGGCCACCTGGCCGAGACCTACGGGTAGAGCCCTCTAAGATGCTGGAATCATATCTGTCTCATCCTCGCATGCAGGTACTATGGGGCATCGTGGGAAGGCGACGACGTGTACGAAGAGGCCGGCGAAGCGCTCACGATCACGGACACGACCGAAGCGTGGATGTTTCACATTCTGCCCGATGACACGGGCGCGTCGGCGGTGTGGGTCGCGCAGCGCGTGCCCGACGACCACATCACGGCGATCGCCAACCAGTTTGTGATTCATAGCGTCAACTTGAGCGACAGCAAGCACTTTCTCGGGTCGTCCAACATGCTGGAGGTCGCGAGTCGCAATGGGTTTTGGGACGGGACCGAAGCCTTTGACTTCACCGTCGCGTACGCGCTGCAGCAGCACGACCCCGAGCAGTACGGCTACACGCGGCGCGTGTGGCGCGTCTTTTCGCTGGCGAATCCCAACGTCACGCTCAGCCCGTACACGGACGTCTACTCGCGCAGCTACCCGTTCTCGATTCCGGTAGCCTAGCCCTCCTGTGGGTTCGCGATAAGATGTGATTCGTAGATCGAGACGCCCTTGTCGCCGCAAGACCTCATGCGCATCCAGCGCGACCACTACGAGGGCACACCGTTTGACTTGACGCAAGGCCCGGGCGCGGGCCCGTACGGGTCGCCCGATCGCTTCCGCGTCGGCCCGGACGCGGCAGGCGGCCAATTTGAGCGCTCGATCGGCATCTACCGCGCCACGTACACGTTCGTGACGGTACCTGACGCGGCAGATCCGATCCAGAGTCTCTTTTGGTACTAATTCTCTTGTGCGCTGGACCGAATCGTCATGCGCGGGCTAGGTTTGGCCCCTATGCACCGCACGCCACGGCGTATGCACCGGTGTACGCGCACATTGATGCGGTCCCGCGCGGCCTCTCCCGGGGCACGCTCCGGCAGTACGATCCGAGCTTCACCTTTTGGGCCAACGCTGTCGTCGGCAACTACGCGAGTCGCTTCTACAAGTTTGCACATCCGGTCGTCGCAAGCGTTCAAGCCGTCTTTGAAGCCAGCGCGTTTGCCGGTACGCTGATACATTGATACTTTCTTGATTGTTGGCTCGTAGCGCAAACTGGTATCCAGCGCGAGGCCAAAGCGCTTTTGGCGTCGCAGGGCCACGCCGCCGCCGCCGCCTTCCTCACCAACGCGACGACAACGTGGACGGACGCGGCGCGCGCTGCGTTCCACGCGCTCTTGCCGACGCTCGTCACGTCGTTCCACGACGGCTACATCATGAGCGCCTTTGACCAAGAGGACATGACGGTGCGCGCGATGGGATACCCAAAGTGGTACCTCGAGAGCGTCGGGTACTACGACGGCAACACAGATGTGCCAAGCTCAGAGGTTGTCTCGGGCGCCGTGATCTTTGTCCTCGTCGTCGTCGCCCTTGGCAGTGTTGCACTAGGGTATGCCATTGGCCGTCGCAGCCACCGCGTTAAGCGCGGCTACGTCCACCTGCAGTAGCGAGACGGGTAGCAATAATAACAAACACGACGTTTGGGTCGAAATAGCCTCATCGTGCATTTGAGTCGGCGCCATTTTAGCGCAAACCACTTGATACATTGAAAGTACAGTCTCGTGAAATGGAGCTTCCGGACGCGTGCTTTGTGCAAAGAAAAGCCAGGTGTATTGATCGCTGGTCCTAGTTGATACGCACGTAGCCGCGCTGGCGGTACATGCCGAGGCCAAACCCGATGGCGAGGCAGACAAAGGACCCGAGGAGGAAGACGCCCATGAAAAACATGGTCGACGCGCCTTCGTTGCTCGTGATGAACGTCGGCATGTCGTCGTGCGCTGCAAAGTACCCGACGTTCTCGAGCCACCATTGCGGGTAGAAGAGCGACTGCGCCGAGAGCGTGCCGGCCGTCAAGTTGCGCATCATGTACCCATCGTGGAACGTGGTCACGAGCGTCCCAAAGAGATTCACAAATGCGCTGTGCGTGGTCGTCGCGAGCTGCTTGGACTGTGAGGTGAGGTACGCCCGGAGCGCGTCGTCGCCTTTGGTCGACGCAAGCGACGTGGCTTCCGAATGGATCGATGGCAACGCCGCGCGCGCCGCACTCTCGAGCTTGTCTTGGACCGCGGCCACGACCGGATGCGCAAAGAGGTAGAAGCGCGAGGCCCAGTTGCCGACGATCGCAAACGCCCAGAACGACGCCTCCATGTCGTACGCGTGCAGCGACCCGCGCGCGTACTCGCTGGGGACCTCGGTCACGTGTGTAAAGATGGGCACATATGACGTGGCGTGCGGACCGTACTGGCCAAACCAGATGAGCCCGAGCGACGGGTCTGCCTTATCGGCCACCGAGACGAACGAGAAGCTCGTGCGGAAGATCGAGATCGCGCGCTCGAAATGGCCCGTCATCGCGGTGGCGCGCGTCATGTTGCCGTTGCCGTTGATGTCTACAAGTGCAAACTCAATCTCAAGAGGCAAACTCAACGCTCAAATATGATGTACCGTAGCGGTCCGGGTTGCCGTACGGCCCTGCGGCCGGACCCTGCGTCATGTCGAACGGCGTGCCTTCGTAGTGGTCGCGCATGTAGCGCATAAGATCTTGCGGGCCCAGGGTCGATGCGACTGGCACCGAGAATGGATAGTCTGAGGCGTAGATATCGGTCAAGGGCGAGAGATCGAGGCTCGGGTTCGCGAGCGTAAAGACGCGCCAGACGCGCCGCGTGGCGTAATACTGGTCTGGCGTGATGGGCTGCGCGTACACGCGGGTGAAGTCAAAGGTGCCATTGACCGACGGGTCGTACAGCTTGGCGCGAATCGCGACGTCGACCATATTTGTGGAGCCCATAAAGTTGGCGCTGTCGGTCAAGTTGACCTCGCGGATGGTAAACTGGTTGGCGACCGCCGTGATGTGGCCATCAGGGATGCGCTGCGCGACCCAGACCGCGGACGCGCCCGTGTCATCCGGGTGAAAGTGCACGATCCACGCTTCGATCGGGTCGGCCACAACGAGTGCTTCGCCAGCCTCGAGCACCGCGTTCGGGCTCGACCAGTCGGCGCCGTAGTACCCAAACGTCTCGGCGAGGTGGCCCATGAGGGCAATCGCTTCCCGCGCATTCGTCGCGCGTTCCATGGCCACGTTTGTCAGCTCCGAGACGTCAAAGAGGGCTTTGCCGCCGTCCGAGACGGGCGCGGCCACGAGCTTCCCGCCGCATGTGCTCTCGCCGATCGACACTTGGTGCTCGTTCATGATGCCGTAGAGACCCGAGAGGTACGCGTACGTCGACGGCACCTGCGGAATCGAACCCATCGCTGGCGTCTCGGTCCAGTTGTAAATGGTCGTGTCGACGTTGGCGAGCTTGAACGTGTCGCCGCGGTCGTCGCCGACTACGTCGTCGTCAGAGGCATGCATGCGTGCAGATCGCGTACCGTAGCGAGGGTACTCGAGGCGAAAGCGCGTGATGGGCCGGCTCGAGCCATTCAAGAACGTCTTGGCAGGGACCTTGCCGATGCGAAAGTCGCAGTTGCCGCAGTCGGCGTTGTGCGTCGCGAGCGGCGACCCCGTGCTCGACGCCTACAAGACCTTAGCGCCCAGCGGCCGATCGAAAGCAGCGTACGTCTTTGCCCACAGCGATGATGGTGCAGGCCGACGCCGTCGCTAGCACCGAGAGCACCCAACGCACTGCCACCATTGCGCTCGGCGGTCAATCTCAAACTGAAAGATTGGGTTCCCACTTCAACTCGACTTGGGTACATACAAACCCCAAGACGTACATCGTACGTACATTCGCCCCTTGAAATTCGGTGCAAGTTCAGGATCCACTAGGATCGCCACGCGGGACATACAACAATCAAGTGTAAAAAGCGCCTCATTTGAGGGCCACGTCGAAGTTGAAGTGGGTGCCTGCAGTTGAAGCAAGCGACCCTTCTCTAGTTATCAAGAACGCTGTACAATGCAGTTTCTAGTGGGCAGCGACGCGCGTGGTGACCGCCTAGAGGGGATGAGATATGGCTTTTTGTATGAAATCGGTTCACCTCGAGGAGCGCGGTGCGATCAAACGCGGCTTCGTGGGCGGCCCCGAGCAGATGCAGCGCGTGCACTTCGGCGACGAGCGTGTCGACCGACCATCCGTCCGTCTTGTCGACCATCATGTTAAGCATTTCCGACATGGCCACCTATATTGGGACAAGCTCAGCAAGGCGAGGGTTAGAAGAGGTGTGGCACCTCGTCGCAGACGAACGGCGGGTCGCAGCTCGCTTCGTCGTCGACCAGAGTCTCGACCACTATCGCCTCAACAGCCGGCTTGTCTTCCTGCGCCATGCGAAACGTCTCGGCGACTTGCCGCTGTTCGTCCTCGAGACGCGCCTTGGAGGCGTGGCGAGGGCTCACCGGCGTCGTCGCGTTCTCGTCTAAAAAGCGTTGGCCAAAGCACTTGGCCGAGAGCTCCGCGTCCGACTTGATGTACGCCAGCGCTGCTTTGCGGGACGTAAACCACACAAGGTCCTTCTGCACCGAGTCCATAAAGTCCTTGGTCCACACATCGGGCGCCGACGGCGGCACGGTCGAGACAAGGATCCACTTTGGTTTCTCGCTGGTCGGGTCGGCCCACGGCACGCGCTCCCACCCTTCTTGGTACAGCGTCGGCCAGAGCACCGTGTCGAAATGGTGCTTCTCGAGCGACGCGGTGCTCGGCTGCGCCGGGTGTTTTGCCGAGCTCGTCGATAGCGACGGGTCCGAGCGCTTGATCTCAAAAGAGTCTTTCAGCACGTCGTCGGTCAGCAGGCGGAGGTACTTGGGATGAATCTAATCCATATACATATAGCATGTCGCGCCAAGCAATCGTCGACGCACCCGCTTCTCCAGACCGCCGAGGACGACGTACTTGACGGAATAGTACGGCACGTCGTCGTCGTCGTCCGTGCTCATGTGGACGTCAGTGACAATGCCGGCGCCACCGAGCTTGTTCATGCCTGGCATCGTGCGCCTCTCCACAAACACCTTGTCGCCGACCTCGAACGATGCATATGCTTCCGGCGTCGCGTCCGGCTGCTCGGGTGTTGGCTCGTCGACGGTCGCCTCGTTGGTTGCTTCGTTTTCGCCGCCCTCGTCGCCGTCCTCCATGATGCGCTGCGATTTGCGTGCGGGTGCGAAGCGCCGCTTGCGCGGCTTGCCAGCCTCCTTCTCACGCAGCTTGCTGATCTCGCGGCACTTGGCAAACAAGTCGTAGCCCTGTTGCTGCCGGAAACGGTGGCCAAAGCTCATGACATTGTCTTGCATGGCCGCCGCCGCGTGCGCCACGTAGCTACAAGCGACCATGAGAATGCCGGTACATCGACCACCAGCAACTACCGCGTTGGGCAGCCGCGCGGGTTGAACTCGTTGGCGTTGCGCACGATGAGCTGGATGTCCTTGAGGAAGCTTTCGTACGTGTCGTACTCGCCGTCGTTGACCTTTTCACGCATGAAGCTCAGGTCCATGGGGCGCGTAATGACGCTGTAGTACGACGGCACGTCGTCCGGGTCGACCGGGTACAAGAACGGCGCGTTCTTCTTCTGCTCCATGCAATAGTCGATGACCATCCCGAGAAAGATGCGCAGCTCGCGCAAGTGGTGCGCTTCCTGCTCGTGCCGCAGCGTCAGCCCGTCGTCGACAACGATCACGTCTTCCTTGATGGGCGCCACCACCGGCGCCAACAGCGGAATCGGCGCCGGCGCTTTGAGGGCCTTGACGGGCGGTCGCGTAAAGGCGGCAAACACGGCTTGGAAAAGCCGGCGGCGTGACGCTGTTGACGGGGGCTCCGCAGCAACGGCGACCGTCGAGGCAGCGCCAAAAAGGCGCTGCAGCTCGGCTGGGAGTGACGCGCTCGGTGTCGACGACGTAGCAAGCAACAGCAGCGGCAAGTGTTGGCAGTCACGCAAAAACATCTCCAAAAGCGCGTGCGCCGTCACACTTGTGTGGTGCCACCACACGTCCACGTTCGGCAAGACAACGATGCTTGGGGTGCTCTTCTTGGCCTCCTTGAGCTGCCCGAGCATGGCTTCTTCCAGGTTGTGGTGGTTGATGTCGCTCAAGAGCGATGGCAGGTCCAGCGAAAAGACGAGGAGGCGCTCAAAGCGGTGCAAGAGCGCAGCAAGGAGTGGGCTCTGGCCCATGCCATCGGCGCCGTGCACCAGAACACGCGTCGCCTGGGCACTCGCAAACTGCGCCGGCAGTACGACAAGTGCACTCATGGCGCAGCCGCTACACACGATACCCGACATCGGAGCGCACGCCGCGTGCAGCGAGCGCGGACACGTCTCGCAGCGCAGAGCAGGTGCGTCGCCGACGTCGAGACCGCACGCATGGCACGACGCATCGTGGTGCTCGGCGAGGAAAATGGACGGACCCGATGACGCGCCTGCGTGGGCCGCTGGCGTGGCCGACCGATCAAACGACTGGGTCGCAATCGGGAACGCGGCCGCAATCTTTTCGACAAGGGCTTCCAGAGCATCCTACGCACGGATCATTTGGTATAAAACAGCGTGCGGGTCATAGGCGTACCTCGAGGAGTGGGGCAAGCATGGTCGGCAGCGGCTGCGCGAGCGTTTGGTGGCTGCGGTGGGAAGCGGGCTTGACCTTTCGGAAGGCAACGTGAAAGTCCGCGCGAGAAATCTGGATCGAAGACGCGTCGATCGCGAGCTTGGCCGTGCTCGCATACACTTGCGGATACGTGCGATGGAGCGCGACGAGAGCGGTCTCGGCGCAGAGGGCCTTGATGTCGGCGCCACAATAGCCATGCAGCTGCTTGGCCAACTCCATGCGAAAGGTCGGTGCGAGCGGCGGCTGCCAGCACTTGGTGTGGATCTGCAGCATCGCAGCGCGGTCCTCCACGTTGGGCAAGGTGAACCCGAGTTCGCGATCAAAGCGGCCTACATGCATACATGAGCGACGTCACACAGCACCGAGCGTACCGGGGCGGCGTAGGGCAGGATCGATCGCATCCAACCGGTTGGTGGCGCCGATCACAATGACGCGACCGCGGCCGTCGAGACCTAGCACACGCATATGCTCCACACCTTATACATTTCTCGTGACCCGGGGCATACCGTCCATGAGAGCCAGCAGCGTCGAGACGATCGAAGCGTGGATCTGGTCTTGCTTGGCGCTGCGCACGGGCGCAAGGCCGTCGATCTCGTCGAAAAAGATGATGGAAGGCTGCGTGCGCTTGGCTTGTTCAAAGAGGAGCCGCAGCTGGCGCTCGGCCTCGCCGACCCACTTGCTCAAGCAGTCAGCGCCCTTCCGCATGTAAAACGTAATGTGCTGGTCCGTGCAGCTGTTGGCGAGCGCGCGCGCCATGAGCGTCTTGCCCGTGCCCGGTGGGCCGTAAAAGAGGACCCCGGACGGCGGCGTGACGCCGTACTTGGTGTAAAACTCGGGGTATAGCATCGGCAAAAGCACCATCTCCTTCAGTGCGTTGATGTGCGAGTGGAGACCGCCGACCGAGTCCCAGTTGACCGACTTGTCGATCTCGATCGGCGCCACGTCCGCGCGCAGCTGCCCGTTCTTGCCCGAGGTGTCGTTGAGGGGCAAAATCGCGTGCACTTCGCGCTTGTGGCGCTTGACGATGCGGTCTTCGTCGTCGTCGTCCGATGAGCTGCCTGCGGGTTTGCGTTGCCGACGATGGCGCGGCGGTTCGTACTCCTTCTTGCTGCGCCGGCTCAAATAGTCGCTGTACGGGTTGCTCGACGTCTTGGACGATGGCCGCGTCTCGGCTGCTGCCAGCGTCTCGTACGTCGAGACCGTCCGCCGGATCGTGTTGCGGTTGCGGAGCGAGTAGCCAGCACTCAAGTTCAATGGCGGCGGCGAGTCGCTGCCCGCGTGAAGCGACTCGACTTCGTCCAAGAGCTCGCGGATACGCTTCGGGCGTCGGCGGCTCGGCTTGTGGAGCGCGCCGGTCGCAGCTTGTTCGAGAAACCCGTCCTCGTGGTGCTGCTGCTGCCGCAACGCGTAGCGCCGCGCCCGGTCCATCGCTTGCGTTTGCCGCGTACTCTCGGATGACTGGTTGCCGTCGTCGACGACGGGCTCGCGCTTCAAGCGCTTCACAGGCTCGTCTGGCGTGTAGCGAAAGTGGCGCTGCGATCGGTTCCGGAACGTGTAGGCTTTGGTCGTCGGTGGCGTCTCCTCGTCCTCGTCTTCGTCATCGTGAACGTCGTTGGACCGGCGTGTGCGGCGTCGCGACGAGCGCTCGAGGCGATGCCCATGGTCCTCGTCCTCGTCCTCGTTCTCATCGACTGCATCATCTTCGTGGACGGCGCGACGATTCCGTCGGGTGCTGCGCGACGTTGCAGCGGGTGCTTCGTCCACGTCCATGACTTCGTCGCGTCGTGCACGACGCGCCCGGCGCGACTCTTCAGCTGCAAAAGCAGCATCCACTTCGCTGTCGTCGGCAAGCGACGATCGATGCGACGATCGACGCGCGGCTCGGTGCTCGGCTCGGTCCTAGGACATTGAGGATAGAGGTGCAAGTCATGGCAAAATAAGGTCGTACATGCGTCGTGCGCCGGTTCGTCTCGATGACAACGACGTCGTCGTCTTCGTCTGTGGGGTTGTGCGAGTGGCGTCGTGATCGCCGCGGATACGTCGGTGCAACCTCTTGCGCTGCCTCATCGTCGTCGTCGTCTTCTTCGTCATTGTCGTCGTCGTTCTCATTCTCCTCGACATCGCTCTCGCCACCTTCACCATCGTCGACTGCTTCTTCTTCACCGTCAACCGCTTCTTCGTACTCGTCCGCGTCGTCCTCTTCCATCGTGTCGTCCTATGAAGCATCGTTGCCATGCGGGTCATCATCATGCACCCTTCCTCGCACCCTCTGTGGCAGCCGAGCAAGGATGTCCATGCGGTCGCCCTCGTCCTCATGGTCTTCCACGTCGATCGCCTCGGCATGGCGGCCGCGCCGGCGCTTCGATCCGTTTCGTCCCATGCTGCTGCTGCGGGCCGATGGCGATATCTTCCGAATATGCGCCCCAGGTCGATTATCCGGATAAACCAACCGCCGCACCATTGAGCGCCGGATAAAAATGGCGCGGTTTCCGGCGGCCCCGCCACACCAGCGACTCGAGAGTCGACGAGCAGTCTTCTCGCTCATGAGCTAATGTTGTCATAACACTGGACCTACGACCAAGTACCTCGAAGGGTCGACGAGGATCGAAGCAGCGATGCGCCAGTGGAGGACGCTCTGTTTAAACACAGCGCTGACGCAGCATCGTCATGGCGACAAGACGTCTGAACAAGCTCTCACGTCCAGGGATTACATCAATGTATTATAGGTGTATGGACAGTAAATAAGGCGACGTGACGGAACCAATGGTCTGGACTATGGCTGCTTGTTGCTCAAGTAGCGCTGCTTGGAGATCTCGCTCAGAATCTTGAGCGACCGGCGCGACGCGCCACCGGGCTTGGACGCACTCGTGGCGGTCGTTGTCGTCCCACTTGTCGGTCCCACGGAGCGCGGCCGGAGCCAGTTGACCTTCTCTGCGACCGGCGTCACGTTCTCTTTTGTCTTGGCCGGCGGCGACTGGTACATCATGTCGAGCTGCTTCTTGGAGACCGACTTGCTCTGCGACGAGAGCTGGTAGGCGAGGTTGCGCTTGATGCCGTCGAGGTTGGGCGACACGAGCGACGGGTCCGTGCCGGCCTTGGTCGTCGACGTCGGCGTCTGCGAGAGGTTGGGCTTGAGCGGAAAGAGACCGTTCTCAAACGACTCGAAGACCTCGAGCGAATCGAGGTGGTCGTGGATCATGCGGAAGGACGGGCGCACGCCCCACGCGACGCACTTTTTGAAGAGATGCTCGTACGGGCCGAGGGCGGCCGCGGCGCCGTCTGGCAGCGCCTTGACGACGCTGTCCTGGAGGAGGCGGTGGAGCGACCGCGACTCGAGCGCCGTCGCCGGAAGCACGTCGCCGACGAGGAGACGGTAGAGTACGTCCCGGCCAAAGGACCCGACGTCCGCGTTTTTGTAAAAGCTAAAGTTGGACTTGAGGATCGGCGGCTCGTCGTCCTTCGTTTTGATGCGGCCAAAGTCGCTGAGCTTGATCTCGGGATCAAACTTGTCTTCAAAGCCTTTTGGTGGCATGCGCACGAGGATGTTGCGGCAAGCGAGGTCGCCATGGGCCGCGTCGACCTCTTCGTGGAGGATCATCATGGCTTGCGCAATCTGCTTGAGCAGCCGATGTGCGACCGCTTGCGGAAACGGCTTCTTGTGGCCCATGCGCTTGCGCTGATAGTCGCTGAGCTTGCAGTCCATGACCTCGAGCGCAATGCACGTGTGCTCAATGCCATCGCACATGCCGAGACACTGGATGAAGCCGGGCTTGTGGCGGACGCGGCGCAGGTAGTGCAGCTCGACGGCCGTCTTGTGCTTGGCCTGCTCCTTCGTAAAGCCGTCGTGGGGCTTGGCGCGCTTCAATGCGACCTTTTGCCCGTGGACGCTGCACGCGCTCACCTTGCCGTCCGTGCCTTCGCCATAGAGCCCACCAGAGAACTCGACGTCCTGGTCGCAGTTGAAGAGGCCGACGTCTTCAATCTTGGAGCTGCTCGTAAAGCCCGAAAGCACCTCCTCGCCGATGTCGTCGGCGGCGGCGTCGTCCTCGACCTCGGTCTTGGGGCTCTCGGCGATGTCCAGTTTGACGCGCTTCGCCGCCGGCTCGGGCTCGGGGCTGAAGAGGAGCGCTTGGCACGTCCGGCGGCTGCGCGTCTTCATGGCCTGGGGCGACGCCACGACGGACCGCGTCGGCGTGAACTTCTTCTGACGCTTCCACGTCGCGGTCGGGGAGGCCAGAGGTTCCATCCTGGGCGTCGAATTCGGAAAATAATTTGCGTCAGGTTTGAAATTGAAAATACGTCGTCGCTGATTGGCCAAAAACATGCTCGTTTGCGCGCACTTTTTGCCGCGTTTCTTTTTTAGCCAATTGGCGTCCATGTCACGCCCTTTTGGCCCAATCAGAATGAATATTTTGATGGCGAAACCCCCACGCATCACACCGACTGCTACCGGCGGCACGTACCGTGACCGAGCGCTCATATCCTTCCGAAGCTCAGCATTTCCAAGGGGCGCTACGATGCTGCTGCGATCATGTTTCCCCGGACAGCACCAGGGCTGTGCGCGCAATGGCGTTTCTTATTGGCTGAAATTGGTTTGCCGCGCGCCGTTTCCCCAAGTAGCCAATCACATGCCGCGAAAAGGCCATTCGCGCGGGCAAATTTGAATTGGAGCGTGGGTAGGATACTGCGACCAAAGACGAGAGTAGCGACTGCTCATTCATTTGCGTCTACTCAATAGGTGTATATACATCCAGTACGTGCCTATCATGGCTCCATAGCTTTGAGCTTAGTTGCTCGTGTGGGCTCGGGAAGGCTGCAAGCATCCTCTCGACCACACACAACAGGACCATGCGCCAGGTACATAAGTACCGCTTCTTCGATTAATTCTACTGAACAGTGCGTGGCGGTCGTCCGCTGTAGTACCACAAACACGCTTCTCCTGGATTAATCGGACGCTACTAATATGGTTGGTTGGTGGACAACAGGACCAAGGATCGGTTTACGATCTGTGTACGAGTTATTGATCCTTGCCAGTGCTCTTAACATATTCGCCGGATCATACTGCGGTGGGCAGTAGGACGGTAGTACTAGTTGTTAGAACGGGGATGCCCATTCGCGTCGTTCGGCTTCAACACTAGAACGTATTGATAGTAAGTGCAGTAGTCGAGGCCGTGCAACTCATTTGACCATCGTGCTACCCTGGTTGCAACAAGAAGTCTCGAGAACGAGTCGGACGGTCTCGAGGCGAGCGACAAACTCATCCTGGTGGTCGACGCAAGGTGCATCAAGTATATTCGGTTCATCGCGTCTCGCCGCAGGGGCTCGAACAACTGGGGACGCTATTTGTCCTTCGTAGTCGCACGATCAACTGCACACGCAACCTCGTTGGACTACAGCTAGTACGTCTACGTAAAGCTTCGCAGGTTGTGTGTGTCCAAGCACAACGACGCGTGAAGAATGTATGAGGCTACCACGCAAGGGTGGACGGCGTGGATGTACGGTCGCACTGCAGAAAGCCAAAGACAATGGAATAAACTTGGCCAAACGTGACTCGGGTCCGAATCGATTCGAGGAGTTGACCGAGAGCGATGTGTTTTCTGACGTCAAGTGCTAGAGGCAGCACCACTTTTAGGAGCACTGCATAGGAGCGCTACACAGAGGAAATTGCGGCATGCAGCTCCGTTCGTTTGCATCCCGACACCTACTGCCAGGACATAGGTGAAATCAGTTACTAGTTCGAGCACTTCGACAGTACTGCGGCCGTAAACTCGCCTTTGCCCAACAGCGTTTATTGGGCCAAGTCACGATTACTGAAGCCATCCGAGGACTGCATCGTGCCAAACCACAGCGCATCTCAAGAAGAGTTGGTCCTTCGAGGACGGCGACGTTGCGATACCCGGTACGAATGCGCACGTGCCGGCTAGCCTACGGTAGAATGGACATCGTCTTGTGTTGATACACAATGTCAACAAGGAGTCACGGGAAGGATGCTCCACGCGCACTGCTTGTCGATGGTACAGCACATAAACAAAGCGCGATAAAGCCTTCCGCGTCACATCTAGCTTTACGCACGTGTCCTTGAGCTACCGTTCTCAATGCACATGGCGGTGTCGCTTGTTTGGCCTTGCTTCCCCACCTCGAGCACAATTTCGAGCCCTTTGCGTGCAGCGACCTGCTCTGATCGACCACATCGCAGCTTCAACATGCAACCTTCATCGCGCTGCTTTCTCCATCTCTTAGGACCTTAGCACCACTCGCATCATCTATACTACCGGTAGAATAGACGACATTGTACTTGATGGCAGCGACGCCAAGCATGCCTCGGTGAAAAGGTGGAGATCGGAAACGTTGCGTGTTTTCATCCATCGCACCCGCGCCGTTTCGCACTGGTGCTCGTGGTGCGATTTGATTGGCTCTGGTCCGAGGTATCCGGATAGCGCCTGTCGACTGGCACTGCGCTCGGGAACCACTCATGTGGCGACCTTATCCGGACGGGAACGCTGGCGTCGACGTAACTCATTCTTGCATTTGCCTCGTCGAAGTAGCACCAATAGTCCGCCTGGTCGAAATGAAAAGATATACCTTCTTTCCCCATAAGATCGAAGCTGACTAGACCGAAAGACTCTGTGCTTGCACAGTGATGGTTTGATCGACCTGGATATCGAGTAGTTGTAGTACGCTACGCTCTCTTCACAGAGAGCGTGTCCGCGACGGATTATGATGTGAAACTTACTTAGGACACCTTCCGAACGCGTTTGCCAACGCGGTTGCTGTGGACCCTAGTTATTCATACTGCCTGAATCCTCCTTCGCTGCATTTTTCTATCTGTATATTAGTTTTTCACGTAGCCACGATGAATGAAAGGATATGTGTTTTTGAGCTATGGCTTTACGTCATGTCATGAAACAACGAAACTCTTTCTGCTGCCTTCCTACTGAGCTACATCTTCCTTCTACGTATAATTCTGTATTCGATTGGCGACTTGATGATTTGAATATGCATAGTTCAACTGAAAATTTATGATGAACTAACATCAGCAATGTCTTTCGCTCCTATCTGATCTCCAATCAATTTATAATCTTTTATTCTCTGCATTTTTCTTGTACAAGAGTGATGAATTTGATAAAATGGGAATCTCTCTGATCCAGCCTAAAGGTTTGGTCTGTGACGAGAACATTATCATCCTTGCTCTGACTTGTGCTTTTGATTTTCTTCAACGGGGATGGCGTGATGCTATACAGATAATCCAACTCTGAAGCTTACGTGTTGACTAACCATCTAAGAGCTTTTTAACCCTGATCATCCCCTCGATCAAATATGTACGATCTGCATAATTACATATGGGCAGGTACTCATTAGGAGGTGTACGATATATTTCGTGAATGAACACACTCCCTCCAAATCCTGCCGAAAGCAGATCTGGCCGGCATAGTTTCAAGGGTCTTCCTACTTCCGTTAGGAAGAACCTCGGGTGCCTAGGTTACATTTCACTTCAACCTCTATATAGCACTATACACTGGGACCTTCTTCGGGATTTATCATACCCGATGGATATTCTCCCTCAACAAACTCCCGAAAGCAATGTATTCGTGTGCTATGGTGACCTTGCAGCTTGCTGCGAGTTAGCCGCACGCGTCTACGACATCTAAATGAATGACTAGCTGTAGTGATTATCATCGAAATGATAGGATTAATACCTTCTTTCCAATGATCGACACTGATTTCAAACGGAACATGCCAAC